TTGTGAACTTCATATGAACTTCATGAGAGAGACCTCAGAACTTACTAATAGTTTTATTTATTTATTTATTTATTTATTTATTTATTTATACATTTAGTGTGTGTGTGTGTGTGTGTGTGTGGCCAGCTCAGCCCACCTGGGGGCGGGGCTGGCTGGCATGTGGTGCTGCGGGATCGAACCATGGTCCCTGGGCTTTGCTAAGCTTGTTCCAAGTAGGTGCTTTAGACCACTGAGCCATCTCTTCAGCCCCTTTTTAATAGTTTTAAAAAGCAAAAACAGAAAGGATTAAAAACTTAGGGAATTCAACCTTTAAAACAACTAAAATAGGGGCTGAGGATATAGCTTACCAATGCAATGACTGCCTGACAAGCGCAAGGTCCTGAGTTCAATTCCCCATACAAAAACAATCACCTAAAATAAGATTCTCTAATAATTTGAAGGATTACTCAAAATTATTATCAAACTGCCTAGCAAGTGTGTGCCCTGAGTTCAATTCCCAGTACAAAAAATAGTTATCAAAAACAACAAGCAAGGAAACATACAGAGTGCCCCCCTCCAGCAGTCCTTTGATGGCCAGGCAGCAGTATGACCCAAATGACAATCATCAGTGCTGGGATCAAACCCAGGGCCACATGCTGGCACCAAGCCCACCCCAGGCCCCCCTGGTTCTGATTCCCAGTGCTTTCTTCTCCTTGCAACAAAGGGTCTCACAAACGTGTTCAAGCTAGACTTTTTTTTCAAGCTAGATTTAAAAAAATAATAGTTAAAACTTAATGAACCATCTCTTCCAAAGTATGTACATTTTCAAATTTTTAAATAAGCCAAGCAGCCTTGTAGGCTTGGAAGTACATGCATCATAGATTTGGAGAGATAGTTTTGGAAGTGGAGAAGCTGACCTGCAATGACAAAATTTTAGATTGTGATGACAGTCTTTAGATTTCACCATGAGAATACAAGCCTTGTAAATAATGTTGATATAAATTGTCTATCAGTGTCATGTGTACTATGTTTGTATATATGTGATACCATTTTTAAATGATTTTTTTCCTCAAGGGTTTTGGGCACGTGAAGTAGGTAAAATGATTGGCCTGGAACACCCTCTCATCCCGGTCCAGCACCAGTATGTGGTCACCTCCACCATCCCAGAAGTGCAAGCTCTGAAGCGAGAGCTCCCTGTGCTCCGGGACCTAGAAGGATCCTATTACCTCCGCCAGGAGCGCAATGGGCTTCTGTTCGGGCCCTACGAGAATCAGGAGAAAATGAAGGTCCAGGATGCATGGGTCACCAACGGTGTTCCCCCAGGTGGGTCCTCAGGTCAGACACAAATGGCCCAGGGTGGTCCAGCAGAGAGGAAAAGAAGTGTGTCCTCTGGCTCGAGCAGATGCCTGAGCCCAGGGGGTGCCTGTCCCTGAAGGGCTTGTCTTCCACCACCCTCCAGGCTGGGAGAGACTCCAGGTGTATCCTTCAGCCCTACAAACCTCCAGCCTCCATCCTCACCTTCTTTCTGCTTATAGCAGTTTCAGGCTTTGGGTGGAGCAGCTCTGAGCTCCACTGGTGACCCAGGGCAGGCAGCAGAGGCAGGACGCCACCCACTGGGAAGGAAGGGCAGAGGGCCTAGCAGAGCAGGCAGGCCAGACCACAGGCTGAGGCCTCCGGGGCTCCCAGGGACATCACAGGCCTTGTCTGCGTGCTGTAGTGGGATGCTCTGAGCGCCCTTGAGTTCCTTGAGGGAGATAGGTCCTTTTGGTTTACTCATGAAATATTTCTGCATGGCCAGGTTAAGATTTTGGGTGCCTAGGTTTTACATTTGTCATCCTCAGAGAGCTACCCCTTATGACACAGAGAATAAAGGGAGCTAGAATGTCATTAGGGTGTGAAGTAGGGTGCGTGCATGTGTGTGTTTGTGTGTGTGTGTGTGCGCGCGCATGTGTGTGTTACCAGAGAGGACATTTTAAAACTTTGAGACAGTGGATCACTAAATTGTCAAAGCTGAGTTTGAACCTGCAGCTTTTCTGTCTTAGCCTCTCATTGTGCTGGGATGTACCCCTGTGAACCACAGCACTTGGAGTAGAATTTGGCCTCGGTAAGCAACATGAGGTGGAGAACAAACCTCTCCCTCCAAAAGGCAGCACACAGCAGCTAATACCTCAGCAGCCTCCTCAGAGGTGGGCCAGCTGGCCTCCAGGTTTTGCTGGCTTGGTTCTGCTGAGTGCTGTGGGACCTCAGGCTTCCTTCTCCCTCCCCACTCTTCTTGATGGCCTGGCACCTCCTCAGGAAAAAAAAAAAAAAAAAAAAGCCACAAAAGTTAACAAATGTGGAAATCCTACCCCTTGAAGGCAGTGCCTGGCTACTGCCCTGGGCCCAGGGCAAGGGCACCTTGCATCCTACCCCACCAACGTGTGCCAGTGACCTGAAGTCCAAATATGCGACCCCTAGAAGGGGCTGGTCGGATGCCATGTGAGAAGGCCACAGAGATGGGCGGAGATTTGATGCTGTGGTGGCGCTGCTTTGACTTGGCTTTTCAGTGACTTTAGGACAGGCTGTAAGTACCATCTGTACAGGCAGGGCATGGGCACAGGCTGCAGAAGGAATCCTTCACCTCTGTCCTCCCAGATCCTGCAGCGGTGGTGCCCATTCTGGGGTTCTTGTGGGATTTATTCCCTGCTGGCTGCCCTCACCAGAGGGTGGGGATGAGGAAGGCACTGAAGGTTAATTGAAGGGTAGAGATCGCTCCTGACAAGCCAAATTATCATTCCTTGTGCTTTTAAAATTATGATTGGATTAAACAATAGAAGTTTAATATACATACATTTAAATTTCTGTAAATTAAAAAAAAAAGCGATTTGTTTCCAAAATAGCTTCGTTTATTCTCTGTAGCATAAGGGGTAGCTCTCTGAGGATGACAAATGTTGACTAGGCTTCAATCACTTCAGGGTGCTTGTCCCTGTGTGAGGGCATGCTGACCATAGGGTGGTGTATTTCCAGGCTTTGGGAAGGAACTTTTTGAGTCTGACCTAGACCGGCTTATGGAACATGTGCAAGCAGCAATGGAGATGGTTCCAGTCCTGCAAAAGGCAGACATCATCAATGTGGTCAATGGTCCCATCACCTACTCCCCTGACATTCTGCCTCTTGTGGGTCCGCACCAGGGAGTCAGGAACTACTGGGTGGCTGTAGGCTTCGGGTGAGTATGTCTGTGACCCCAGCAGGGATTATAAAATCACTTGCTCAGCCAAGTCTGGTCCCATAATTTCAGGACAAAAAAA